CTAGCATAAAATTACATATTTATTAGCATAGGATTGCTGCCTCCTTAACGTATATCTGACATCTACTATATGTCCGTTTGTCCTTTAATATTTCTGTAATGGTGGTTAAAATTAATGGTTTAGGTGTTTTGTTGCTGTTTTACATTTTACGACAGTTGGTTTAGAGAGGCAAATGTGCGCACGAACAACTGGTTCCTTCCTACCACATGTTTTGCCTATACAAAGCCAGGCTATATGGACCACGTGTTATTTGTTGTTATTTTTCTTTTCTAGCCGGGTGTTAGTGTCCTCTTATCTTTATAGACAATTGATAAAGAACATCTGAATTATTGAGATAAGGTCTACTCCATTAGTGGTGTTAATAAGATGGATGTTTTAAATTATTATATTTTAATCTTAAGTACCTCAATTTTGTTTTATTTATTGGTTTTTAGTAGTCAGTGGTTCGTTGCAGACATGATTTATAACATACTTTCCTAAAATTCACCCTTGATTAATATAGAAATTATGAAGAAATTAGATTTTCAACCTCCTTTTGACTTTGACTTTGACTTTGGTGAATATGGCTATTCTCTTTTAGTCTCCTTTAGTCATGAAGCTCCTAACGTTTCCACGTATTTATACATTTTAAAAGTTTTGATTTGAACTCTTCTGAGGACGGTAAATGATGAAACTCGCTTCGAACGCCCGAAATTCATCAAGTAATTTTTTTCATCTTGTACAATCTGATAATGAACTAGAATATCATTCTAAACCAAAATTAGTTAATGTTTTCTTTCAACCGAATTAAAGTCTGCAGTCCCAAATAACGAATGCTTACATGGCAATATACAAATCAGGACATATTTCATAAAGCTGTTACTATTTCTATAATTTCGGTTTTTGGATTTAATATAAACGTATTTGAAGTTACTTTCAAATGTTATATTTCACAAAAGTAAAAGGGAAAGCACAACACACTGCAAGCACAGCCTACAAAATGATTCTCACACATAAAGCTATAGCAATATTGTATACTCAAAACATTATTCGGATAAAAACTAAATAGAAGGTGCACATTGTGAAGATTCGTAGAAAGTTTCATTAAATTCTGATTATGGGTTTAGGTGGACAAGCGGATACGAACGTGCTTTGTAGTGTACAGATATGACAAATAGAGTTGAGAATGAAAATGGGGAATGTGTCAAAGAGACAAAAACCCGACCAAAGAGCAGAAAACAGTCTAAAGCCACCAATGGTCTTCAACACAGCGAGAAAATCCCGCACTCGGAGGAGGCGGGCTTCAGCTGACCCCTAAACAAAAATGTGTACTAGCTCAGTGAAAATGGACGTCACACTAAACTCCGAAACATATAAATGAAAAAAAAATTAAAAAAACATTCAAGACTAACAAAGGTCAGAGGCTCCTGACTTGGGACAGGCGCAAAAATGCGGCGGGGTTAAACATGAAGTCCATCTCATGCCAAAGTAATCCCCGAAATCTTTCGCCGGGATGAAAAAATGTAATAAGAGGTGCAAACAACATTATCAGAATGAGATGCAAAAGAACATTATCAGAGTAAGGTGCAAAAGAACATTATCAGAGTAAGATTCTGTGAATATGTCACAAAGTTTTGTCATGCTGATCAGGAGCAATTGTGGATACAAAGTTTGACGGATTGACAAACGAACAAATGAACCAACAGATGAACGGAAGACCGAACGGATGGGCTTCATCATTAATATATGATAAGCGCTTCAAAAAGAGGGGGTTTAATAAAATGAGCGTTTATTTCTAAATTATGACGAGAGAAAGTAAGATTCTTAGTTGCAATTAAAACCCTCAAGAAAGACAAACAACACATAGCCAAAAGAGAAAATAAAAGATAGAAAAATAAATAACAGCCCCAAAAACAATACAAAGAAAATAAAAAGATTTGTCAAAACGAACACCGTAAAAGAAACCGGGTATAAACCCACCTCTCCGGAAAGTTCAGTGGCGTAGCTAGTTCATTTTAAGGTGTACGCCAGAACCTCGATCTGAGGCCCCTAGCGTGTCCAGGGCATAGGGCCTCCTTGTAGGGGCGAAAACAACCGGAGCTCACGCGTTATCAAGAAAGAGATACCATTTCTGTTATGAAAATCTCATCAATAGCAACATACTTGCACGGTTGAGAACAAATTAAACTTTACGACAAAATAGACGATTTCAGCTTCCCAATTGTGAACTTACAGTTTCTATGTTGCAACATTCATGATACGATACGTCAGAGTTTGCATTTCCTATCATGATTTTCATGATAGAGGGTTGCTGCTTATAAGGAAGTGGTGAAGTTGAAATGACCCCTTTGGAAATTTTACGGTCGTCATTACGAGTCGTTTGACCGTTATAGAATATCTGTTTCACAAATGACGACGGATATGTTACAACTGTTGTTACCATAATCCCGTCCTTTTTCCTCGAATGTGACCTTGTACTTACATGAGCAACACGACGGGAGCCGCATGTGGAGCAGGATCTGCTTACCCTTCCGAAGCACCTAAGATCATCCCCGGTTTTTGGTTTGGTTCGTGTTGCTCAGTCTTTAGTTTTCTGTTTTTGTGTACTATTGTTTGTCTATTCGTCGTTTTTCGTATTTTGCCATATCATTGTCAGTTTGTTTTAGACTCATGAGTTTGAATATTCCTTTGATATCTTTCGCCTCTCTTTTAGAGTCTAATTTGGTTTTTTAATGTTAAATTTAATAAAATTGTGTTGAATTGGGATCTAATGGTCATTTGTTTTAGAGAAAATGTCCAAACTTGTTACTTGTAAAGTTGATGTGGGGTAAAACAATAAATGGACAAAAAAATCAAAACTTTATAGAGATATCATATTGTTAGAAAGCAAGTCTCCATTTCAATGGTGTCGTTCTATTAATTATTTTGACTTCGTCTAATTTACTTACCTTTTTACTCGCAAATTTCGTTAATGGACACATGAAATAATCAATTTTCATAGATGGTCATGTGTAACATAAAAATGTAAGCCACGTATCGACCTCAGCAGATAATGAATTGTTTTAAACAAACTGAGTAGAATTCACAATAGATTCAGACTTTGACAGAAATATATATATAATGTGACACCATTGATTTAAAAGTAAATTTCGTCACTTTTATCTTCAATTACAAGTCATTGAAGATATAAAAGTAAGGAGATGTGGTATGATTGCCAATGAGACAACTATCCACCCAAATTCAAATGAAGCGGATGTAAGTAATTATAGGCAACCGTACGACCATCAACAATGAGAAAAACCCATACCGTATAGTCGGCTACATGTATAAAAGGCACCGACATGAAAAATATGAAACAATTCAATACCAATAAAAACAATATTCAAACATCTAATTACAGTGTTGAATTGGTAACCTTTTAGAATAAGTTTATTCAAAGGATTGATAAGTTTATCCGGGTCGTATATAAATTTCAGGGTTCGGTAAACAACATCACCGTAAAAAGTAGGATGTGCTAATCCATCTGAAATAATAATTTAGTAAAGGTTTTAAGTAATTTGTGGTAACGAAATCCCTGACTTAATAATTTACCAGTAATACATGGATTACGCTCACTGAAATCCAAAACGTCACTACAAACACGGGCATAGCGAACGAGTTAGGATATATAAATACCGTAAGACGGTGCCAGAGGAGCATCGATCACCGTCCAAATAAGGAAAATTAACAATAGGGAAAGAAAAATCGTTCCTTTTGTCGTAAATTTCTGTGTAGAGTTTCTTGTGTAAAAGTGAAATGTCTTAATCTAGGAAAAGAAACTTATTGTTGTTTATATGTGATTTATTTTCGGTTAGTTCCTTTGGATAAATTTGGGCAGACTATTTATAGAATTCTTGAGATAGCATTACATGGCTCATGAATTTTTAAACAGTTCTTTTAATTTATTTGGGTTAAAATAATTTTTTCTCCAAAATCCATGTGCACGCCCGGGCGTTTTGACGTGAACGTAGCTACGCGCCTGAGTGCAATAGTTCCTACACCATTTCCAAAAAATTAAAAACGTAAAACTTTACTTGGCGATTGAAAAAAATACTGAAATACTTCAACCTTTCCCAAAAGACATTTGTTTTGGTATTTCTATAAACGGGGAAACCTTACTTGAATCGTATAGCAGATCCGTAATTTAACTTTTATTCAATTTTCGATAACATTTTACAGTAAACATAGGAGTGATATACTAACAATACAAAAAACCATGTAAGTATGTAAATGTAAATAAAAATATTATATCCCAGAGTATACGCAATGTCAAATTTTCAATAAAATTTCCTCGTGGATTTTATCAAAATATATGATACAATAATAAAATTTTATAAAATTGGTGCCTTCATAGCGCTTTCATTATTTCTTAATGTATAATACTATTATTCAATGGAAAATTTTAAAAAGGGAATTTTTGTGTGTGTTTTGTAAGAACATACTAGATTTTTAAATTATGTTCTTTTTATTGAAAATGCATAAGTTCAAATTTTTCCATATGCCTGCAGCTAAATAATAATACATAGACAATAACTCGTGAATTTTTGACACTTACAACTTCATCAAACACAAAATGATAGAAAGAACAATTACTTCATCTGTCAAAAGGTGTCGCTGGTCTTCAATCTTTTTTCCAGAACGAGGCTACATTGGGTGTTTTCAATAAATTTTGTCTTTTCTTTCTGTAATCTTTTGAAATCGAATTGCAATACATGCCAAAAGATTAAATATAACCATTCAAATACATTAAACACTATTTTGTGCAGAAATAATAAAATATATCGATAAATATGTGAGCAACATATGTACCCCTTATTAGCTCCCCTTGGACGATTCAGACTGTTAGAAGGACGTTTTGGTGGGCAGGGCTAATTTTTAATTGATGAGTGTTAAAAGTTGCCAATGTAGACGCGTGTATGATAGGACAGAATAGGAATTAATGACCCGGTATAAATAGAAATAAGAGTAATTATAACTGCCGATAGAAGCCCGTCGATTTATCCTTGGAAAAACTGTGCGCGCATACTGCAAGGAACAGAAAATGCTGCCAGTTGTCTTATTTATTTCGCTTTTTGGTAAGTTCAATTTGCTGGATTTAATAGAACGGACACAATTATAAATTAAAAAAATAAATATAAGAATTGGAAGATATATATTTAAAACGAAATAGATATAGAAAAATGTTTGGTTGAAATTCTAAATTGGAGTTATAACTGCAATTTCAATATTCATTATCAAATTTATAATTTCAACACGGTCGTCACTGATGAATCTTATGTAGACTAAACGCGCATCTATGATATGTCGCACTTAGTTATAATAAGACTGCAATATTGACGAGATTTGAGTATTTACCAAAAGAATTTCAATTAATATCTCTCGTTTCAGATTTAAAATAAATGTGCATATGTGTCATGTAATTATGAAATAATATCTGTAAATATTGTAAACTACATGCCTAAAGCTTTCCTCTCGATTTCTTTATGTTTAAACAATACTTAATGATGAAGATACATGACATCAATTTTTGAATTGATCGTTACAAACTACAAAACAATTAATCTCACAAAATGAGTAATTCAGAATTTCTATAATTTTCAAGGCATAGTTTAAGACTTACTCACTTTTTCTTTATATAGTGTTGCAAATTGTTTAATATAAAAGAAATCACTGTACTGATTATGCCCATAATGGTTCCTCTATTGGAAATAAAATTATCTATCTATCTTTCTATTGAATACTATATATATATACTTTTTTATTGTAGCGATCGGAACTTTGGGTAAGTCGATAGTTATGAATTTAGTTGTATACAGAAAAAATGCCATGCTCATGCACACATACTACTTTGAGAATCTGTTATAAACCTTAGACAAGATATATGAAAAATCGAATTAGACTTCGTCTTAATACATTTAAGTACTCCCTAAGAGTTTCGTGGTTTTGATTTTCGAGTAAATATTCGCCATAATCGCATGTTTATTCTAAGGTGATAATAGAATTTGTGAGATAAATACGACAAAACATTCTATTTATTTTTATACAGACTGTCACTTAAACAATATTCTATCTATCGTGTCGATCAGACTTACATGTACACATCACACAATATGGGCTGCTAATTCTGTACATGTACATACAATGAAGAAAACGGGTACTAAATACCAGTCTTTGTTTAACTAGTATAACTCTTTACAATATACAGTTAAGCGTCTTAGTTTAAACACAGTCTTCTTTAAACCGTATCTAGTCATTTTTTTATTCATGTCCTTATACGTGTTATCTAAATGAAACTATGTTAGCTTTTTTCCCCAAAAGTTGACTTTGAAACTTCATTCTCCAATAACATTATTATAGTTTTTTGATTGTCGGGCAACTGTTCAAAAAAAAATATCACATACATAAAATTAAAAGTTATTATAATATAACGAAAGTTTTCAATAGATACAAAAACCAAACTAATAAAAGCTTTAAGTTGTTGCAAAGGGGAATAACTCCAACTAAACTTGATAATCGTAAAGATTCAGAATAAAAAAATGGTACAGGTATTTTTAAGTATAACTTGTTTTTACGTTATAATTTGTTTCCTTTTTTGTCATGCCGGAACCTCTTGTGGCTGACTGTGCGGAATGGGTTTAGCTTATTGTTTAGGGCCGTGCGTTGACCTATGGTCGCTTGAATCAACTTCATTTGGACTCGATAGTTGTCTCAGACATTGGCAATCATACTGCATCTCTTTGTTTCACAAAGACTAAATAGATATAAATTAGAATTAACATCAACAGTCGCGTATAATACAAAAGAGTTAAATACAGATTTAATTCAGTTTATTAAGGCACATACCTCTTCTCATTTTGGGGTGGGGGAGGGGAATATTTATTATTTTTTCCTTGGGACAAATAAGTTTTTCAAATTTAATTATTAAAAGATATATTTAAATAACATCCGGAACACGATTTATTTAAAGAAAAAATAATGTTTATTTTAGGATAAAAAATTTATTTAAAAAAACCATCTCCCCACAAAATTAAAAAAAAAAACAATAAAAATAAAGAGAGAAAAGGATGAATGGTCGGAGCCCAATCAGTGTGTTGTATCAATTATCTTATCCAAATAGATGTATACATTATCATTTAAAGATATTTTCTCTTAACCACAACATTAATAAATCATAATTGAACATTACAAACATTTAAAACATAAGACATTACAATATATCAAGTTATTAATTAAGCATATGTTTAACAATTCAAGAAACATGTTTAAATCTGTCATAAAACAAACCAAACTGTAACCTATCTGTCTGTGAGGTCTAAATGTATAACTTCGTTTTCTAAAATCAGTGAAAAAAGATTTGTTATTTTGCTTTCGCCTAATGTGGTGTTTCATAAAATGAGTGCGTATCATATTTGGTAATTTCTAATCTAAAAGAGGAATTTCTATTAAAGCATATTGCATTACTGCACTATCATCTAAAAACAACTTATCCGATTTGAAAATCTTTAGAATGTTCGCTCCTCTGTTTTAAATAAGGGAACTTAAAAAGTAGAAAAAGTTACAGGGTCGTGTCCTTGTGCAAACTTTTTATTGACAATGCATGGATAAAACTAGAGGATTCCGAACATGTGACAGAAAGTCAAAAACAAGAGTAGCAAACATCCTTAATAGGAATATTTCAAATATAATAGAAAGAGGTACATACAAAGTTCGAATGCAACTTTTCCAAGCCTTGTCCAATTTGTTTCAATAATATCAAATAAAATGAAAAAAAGATTGCTTGAAATTAATCCCTTAAATAAAGAGCATATGCAAATTATTTCTTATCAAATGAATTGTATCCTAAAAACAAATGCATTTTAAAGAGAAACAGACATGATCTTTCATAAAAATACTCTTAGAATTATTATACTTGTAGTAATAATAAATCTATAACATCTCCTACGATGGTTAAAATCTCATTTTAAAGAAATAAAACAAGTGCATTGTAGCACAAGAGGCAAATCGTGTTTTGTTAACAATTTCCTGGAAAAGGCATGTTTCATATTTATTTTCATGATCAAATATTTTTGACAGAATTTATCATTTGACAGCTAACATCAAACATCAAAACAAACAGGCGAAAGTTATATGCCATAATTAATATAATTTGATGCGCACGTAAACATCCTCTTTTTGTCAGATTGATAAGCAAGATTTACTTTGACATGAAGCGTAAGCTTGACACACTACAACAATGCATTTGAGCTTTCATCTGTACCGAATGAATTAGAAAAAAACCCATGAAGATGAAATATGAAATTTTATTGACACATGACCTTCAAAAAAAAAATTGTCATGTTTAAACACGGAAATTTATGAATAAAATTTTTTATTTAAAATAAAACGTAGGTTACTCAATCTTAAAACTTTAACTGTCAAATATGAAAAATTAAGGACAAGTTTTTACTGTGATGTTTTTGAACCCGAACAAAAACTCTTTTGTAGTTTAAAGTGATTTATGACAGAATGCCTTATAAAAGAATGGAGAAAATGTTCTATAGAAATTCTAAATAACTGTTATGCCATTTTTCTTCTTACAAGTTAACTTGTTTGACTGTATACTGCTTGACTTGCACTTATCAGCGAATAACACTATAAATTGCAGAGCAAAAGTATATCAGGACTAAATGGTTATTCCCCCTTTTTATGTATTTGTTCCGGACCATATGAGTATTTGGACCATACGCGTATGGTCATGACCATCTGCGTATATACTCATATGGTCCGGGTAATTAACACGATCAACTTTAAAAAGTTGTACAACATAAATTAAGAGTTTCTCAAAAATTAAATTTTGACGTATTCAATCATATTGTAGCCATTGTTACATGATTAATTTATTAAAGTGAATATTACTTGAAGTAAAAATTATAGTGAAATAATATTTAAATGGTCAATTTATCCATGCGAATCGCAATCTGTCGACTTTGGAAAATTACTTCAAGAAATATCTAAATGAACTTTAAAACATAAGTTAATTGCTTAACGCACATACACTTTGGTCACTGAACACTCTTTCTTTTTTTTAAATTTCTTTTGGTGTTTAAATTTGTTTTTAATAAATCATAATTTCTTTAAAATTTCTAAATGTTTTTAGTTAATTTGTTCATGTGTTCTTGATCCTATAGGATCCTAATAGGAGCAAGAATACATAGTTTAAAAAAAAATAAGCAGAAATAACAATTTAAAAACTAAGAAAACAGAAAAAAAGACCCATACCCCTACTGCATGTGGTGTCACTTACGGGCGAATATCGGCAGTATAAAGGCGATTTGAATTGACTCTAAGCAAATAAAAGATATCAGATACACTAATAGTCAGGAATTCAGATAATAATTTGTGCTGTTTTCAGTTCATAAAATGAGATGTGTGTTTCTGCAAAGGAAGATAGAATTATTCGAAAAATATCTATATGGTCTAAATACTCATATGGTCCGGCCCGTTAATAACTAAACAAGTATAATACTCGTATAGTCCGACGATACGCGTATGGTCGGACCATATGAGTATACGCATATGGTCATGACCATGGTCCAAATACTCATATGCTCTGGAACATGTTTATAGATTCTCTACACCATAATCGGATCAAGATTATATTAGAAATTTGAAATCGAGAATTATTTTTTCATTTATTTATTTTTGACCCAAGACAATCTGTCATTATTATTTCTATCAATATTCAAGATTTTATACAAAACCTCAAACAGATACAGATTTACAAGAGTACAATGTAGTTACACGCATACGATACAACATAGTGAGACAGGACTGAAACAAGACAAAGATGACTAGTTAAAATCGTAGTTGTATTATTTTTATTGAGAATTTACAGTGAGAGAAAAAAAAATCATATCGTATGAGTACTTAAAATGGCATTTAGAAGAAAAGAAAAACAAATCATCAAAAAACATCAAAGGATAATTTTAATTGATATACTTAGAAAAAGCGGGAAAGAATATAGAATACAGTGATAAAAAACACATCTTGTTTTTGCTATTTTAATGAAAAAGAAGAGATGTTGTGCATTCAATTATTACACAAAACATGTATGCACTTTATAAAACTCAAAGCACTGTACACTTTTTATTGCTTTTATTCGGGTCTACAAAACGGAGAAAAGTTTAGGTCGGCCATCAGCACGGATTTGATCGGAATCTATATGTGCATAAAAGAGATCAGATGCAGAGTATCATTATCAATGTTCTTTGCCGGGAAACATTACAATGTTTTATGAGGGGTAACATTAACAATGTTTAATGTGGGGTAACATTAACCATGTTGTATGAGGGGTAACATTATCATTGTTCTTTTTGGGGTAACATTACAATATTTAATGAGGGTAACATTAAAAATGTTTTATGTGGCGTAACATTACCAACGTTCTTTTTTCGGGTAACATTGCACTGTTGTATGCCGGATAACATTAAAAATTATGTTTCTTGTTATTTTCAGGGCATGCACCTCCACCACTCCAAAAGAAAAGTAAGTGTACTTTTTTCAGCTTTGATTACTTTTTAGTATGCAAAACTTTTGAGTCTTCAAATGAAACGGTGATAAAAATTCATATTCAGAATTTACTATCTAGTTTCATCTTATTAGGTGACACATTTTCAAAAATGTTCATCATAATTAATGTTTAAAGATCTTTGTGGATGAAAATTATTTATACATTATCTAAGTCTCATATGTTTAGCTAACATATGGATATTGTTTATATCTACTTCATTTGAAATCTGGTGCATAATTGTCTCTTTGACAATCAAATCACATCTCCTTGAATCTAAGTATAATTCTGTTTCCAAAACTATTGAGGATAATAAAGATTTTTTTAAGAGGTCTTTTCATCGAGGAAAACATTTTATTGATTCTTTTGTTTTATAAAAAGAGGAGGAAAATGTTAATAAGTTTTGTGTTGATACAACAATCTGCTACGATATGCAAGAGGATTGCTGTTGTAACTTTACAAGCAAAGAAATTTCCCCGTTCAACATGTAGCAAGGGAAAACAACATGAATTGAAATTATTTCTTTCATATATTACATGTAAATATGTTTGTGTTTAGTAAACATCAACACGGACTTTTGGAAATTGAATACAGTTAACACAATGACGAAACATATAAATAACTTCATTGTTTAGACAGAAACATGTAGTTTTGCATAAGCTTAAACTATATTTGACAAGTTATATTGTTTTGCTTGCCAAAAAAATCCTATAAATCACAAAATTGCATTGCTTCTTAATTGCCTTGATGTTTGACAACGGTGACATTATAGTAATTGATTAAAACGCCCTAAGGATGTTGTATTCCTTGTCATTTGCAGTCCGATAAACTGATCAATATTCATCACAATGTGTTAAATCAATATGAAAAAAGTAAAATACCAAAAATACCGAACTCCAATGAAAATTCAAAATGGAAAGTCCTTTATCAAATGTCAAAATCAAAAGCTGAAACACACCAAACGAATGGAAAACAACTGTTATATTCCTGACATATAGTCCAGTAAAAAATAGAAATAAAAGTAAATTTTGCTGTTATTTTAGACTAAATGTGGTATAGCTATATCTATAGCAAACCCATATAGAATAATTAACAGTCTTTACTGGTAATCATACCACATCTCTTTATTTTTATATTCGTCTTGAATCTATATCATTTTAGGGGATATAATTTGGAAAATAAGATAACTCTTTTAATCAGTAATGCGTTTTTAAAAGTCCGTTTCATCGATGCGTTTTAAGCCCTTATATGTTACAGACGTGACTTAATCTGTGATGCTTAGTAGTGTAGAATGTATTAATAAAAATGGGTGTAACAAACGCAGGAGTGATTTGGAAGAGATATGTACCGTAACCAGAATCTTCCTCTTCAATTGAGGAATAACTGCCTTCTTTTTTTTATTAAAATCAGTAAATAGAGGAGTTTGGTATATAAAAAAATGACAGTAATACGAAATAAAAAAAAACCCCACAAAAACGACATTACAGGTGAACCAAGGTCTTCAAAAATAGACAAAAATGTCAATACCAAAAAGTCGAGCCAGGAATCGTCCCGAAAATTTTAAATAAATTTAACAGTGATTATAAAAGGTCTGACATCAACTTTTAATTCCCTAAATAAAACTTCATTTCATACCCCAATATAGGTCTATGAGTCAAACAATACAATGTCAACTGGAAACATTATAAAAGGTTAAAGAAAATAATTATGATACATAAAAGAAACTCAATTTTTGCTTTGGCTAATTCACCGGAAGTTCATGAACCCATAACTGCACAATAAGGCAAAAACATGACATTGTTAACCCTGTGTCATTTTTATTGAAATAATAAATTTTCGCATGACAGAATAAACGATATTGAGCAATTAATGCTTGTCTTATTAGACAACGTATGGATACGTTCACCTATATTTGCCTCACAGTCGTTTTATTTGCATTTTATTACAGCTTAAATATACATGTCATACAAGACTGCAATTAAACCCTTTCATCTCTAAGTATAAACTTTTTTTGATGTTATGTGTCGGAATTTTATAGCACTTTTACAGAATTAAAAACTCGATTCGACATGTTGAAATATCACGTAATAATAAAAACATGTTAATTTTTTGGCAGACTATGCATATTTTTACTTTCGCATACAAATACAATATCAATGTTTTCTAAATATGTACTGATGCTATTGTACTACAGCAGTGCATGACATTCAATACTAATCAAATGAATTCTAAGTTGAAACTTAAAAATCATAAATATGTGTTACTGTCGATTAATTCCATAAAAATCGATAGTTTGAGATAGAGTTATAGCCCTTTGTCAATGGTTGAAGGAGAACGTGCACAAGTTCCTACATACATCAACCAAATTATATTGTAATACTGTTCACTTAACCTTATGAAAAATGTTTTCTGAACAATAATAATTTGCATTGTTTATTTGATCACGACGATTTAACTTAAAGATCTCTTATCTGAGACTTGATTGTACCACGTGTTTTAATTTGGTTGATAAAAAACTTTGCCATCCAATATGGCGGCTACGGTGAATAACTCAAACTAAGATAACATAAATTGAAAACTGCCTATAATAGGTATTTTTGTTTGTTTGTTCATAAACCAGATACATTTGATTTGTTAAATGCATGAAATGTTCTATGTATTTCAATAGTTTGACAAAGTCGAAAGAATTTGAAGAGATCAGCATTCGAAAACTGTTCAAATGATTTCAGCAATACACTTGTAGAATTGTAAATTCTGTTTTAAGATAATGAAAACAATTTATTCAAGGATAAAACTTTTCACCCATTCTAAATTTTTTATGAAGTAAAATTATAAACAATATTATTGTAACACTATCAAAGATCTAGGTACAGTTGACCTGTTAAAAACAAGCAAAAGCTTGCATTTGAAAATTATTTTGACATCCGAATCATTTCTACAAACAAATTCGTCTAGACAATGTTGTTTTGTAGTATTCTTGCGTATGTAAACATGAATAAGACACTCGATGTTGATCAAAACACTTGTAAACAAGTGACACACATTCTTAGCATGTGTTATTGTGTAATCTGTGATTGCTTCGTTTTCCTGATTAGATCAAAACTGATTCATCGAATGTCAACGGAAATGTTCGCTGTCTTCATTGTCAAGTGCACTAAGGCAAATACATATTTGTGACACTGCTAAATCTTTAAGGATGTAGTTAGGTGAAAGTAAAAAAAATCTAGAATTTAGAATTGATACTATAAGTCAGAAGAACATTAGTAAAGGAACAAAATAAGCTAAAATGTTGATAGGTTATGGAACTCCTTTTTGCGTCATTTGAGTTTTAAAAAATGGCGGGAAAAGGCTGACTAGGACTTTTTCGTTATATTTAGCATTGGCATTATTTGGGTCTTAAATTGTAAGAAAAGAAATCTAGAATCTGCTTAAATTTTGGCAATGACCTTTTTATGAGCTATTGAAGTCTTTTATAAAAAGAAAAGTGGGTGATATGGGACAACATATGTTACCTTGTATCGTAGGGAAAAACCCAAAAGAGTCCGCGAACATCTGACAAAAATTCATAAACCTGACCTAACTACATCCTTAAGTATCAATCCATATAACAAAATGCATGTTTGAAGAATAAGATTTGAATGAATAGCGTACAAATATTTAATTCGTTATTTGACCACGCATCATGAAATAGGTAATGGTTTTTCTTATACTGATTGTTCACAGAAGAGAATATTGACTTGAAAGTTACAAAGTAAAGCGGCGCAATCATTGGGTTATTTCCCCTTTTTAATAAACTCTTCATACTTTATATAGTGTATTCCATATCAGTTATATTTCCTTTGAAGTATATTTTAAGGTGGAGTTATCTCGCTTAACTATTGTTATTCTTGATGTGTGATCTTTAGATTCAATATAAGAACATATTCACGAAAGAAAAATATTTCAATAGATAATTAGAATAAATAATATATAATTGAAAATGTATCTGAATTTGTATTGTAATGCATATATTTGTTCATTTCAGTTGTTCACATTCGTGAGTACATTTTACTTCTAATTATATAAATTCTTAAGTCTGATTAAAGCCAAACTGGAAACGAAACAACGTCAGGTTAAATTGATTTTACAACTGGTTCTTAATTTCAAAACCATATGTTCCTTTAACTTGGTACCAGATGATAAACAAAAAAAAGTTATAAATTATAGACATGTTTTTTGTATTTAATACAGTCACCTATCATTGTATTCTTTATTAATTAAATATATATTTCATTTTATATAAATCCAAATAATAATTTGTAGATATTAAGTAATTTTAAGCCTAAAAACTGTCAAATTTGTTTCTTTTGGTACATTATCATTGTTTCAAAATCAACAAAATATGAGTTTAAAGCTGGGAAACATTTTTCTAATAAAAGACTTTCAAGGAAATCAAAAAAGGGAATTAACCATTTTTATTGGTTGGCTAAAAAGTTTAGAAATAAGTGTTGTCTTCCATTTAATATACATATTTTATGAGTTAGGTGCGTTTTTCAAGTCGAATGTTCGGAAATCCCTTATAGATTAAATGCTTTCTTAAATAATTACTTACCTTTTTTTTCCATTGCAGCAATTCCGAAAGCAGGTTAGTATTATCAAACATATGTTTTTTTTTATTTTAAGAAATATGAATTCATGGTATTAACTATTCATTCAAGCAATGAAAAATATAAATTTCTAACTCAAAACCCCTCTTAATAAATAATCCAACAAGACACAGAAAAGTATACGATGCACGTTTCATAAAAATGAAAGCAATATACAAGACAAAATGATAATGTCAATATCAAACAAACAAAAGTTTCCATTAATGAGAATGGTCGTGTTTTCTTATGTCAATTGTTTTTGTATATCAGATTGTAGTAAATCAATAACAAAACGCAAAAAAAATAGAAAACAAAGCAAACATAAAATAAAACAATATAATAAAAAAGACACAACGCGGACAATATCAATTGATAGTAAGAGAAGACAAGATAACTCCGTAATAAAAAAAACCCACCAAAAACTCACTCAAACAACCACCAAAAAATTATACGTAAAACTATATCACTAAAAAAAAAAAGAAAAAAAAACATTCTATTTAGACACATTTGAGTTATGGCAAAGATACACACCCTAAAAAGTCAGTTGAAAAGAAAATATTTGTATTAGGCATATTAATCATGATTCTCAGAATAAAAAAGAACCCAACTTTTATTTATCTTTTTAGTTGTAAGACACAAACCACTCAGACAAGATAGGGCACATGATGTTCACCAACATGTTCCACTTAAAAGGACTGAAGTTCGACGTGTTAACCAAGTGGTTGATTTAATCCATGAGGGTAAGTTTAATGATCGTAAAATTGAGAATGGAAATGGGGAATGTGTCAAAGTGATAACAACCCGACCAAAGAGCAGAAAACAGCCCAAGGCCCAAATGGGTCTTCAACACAGCGATAAAATGTAATGTAATAATAAGGTTATTTTGAAGGAGCATATTGATATGTAAATTCGACTGACTCACTTACAAACTTTATGGAGTCCATAGTTAAGTTTCTGATTGAAAGCTCGAGTTTATACAACAACATTTTTTAAAAATTATTTATCATTCCAATAAATTGCACTACAAATAATGAATAAAACTCTTAATTCAATAAATATATATATGAATTTTTAATGAAGTAAAATCTTGTCTCTTTGATAAATCTTTATGTATGATACAATGTAAATTACATTTATATGTTTTCGGCTGAAAATCTGATATACATGTACCATACTGCATTATGCCCGTATGAGTAATCCATATTTTATTCTATTTCTTTTTCAGTTCCAATGGTTGTTGTAAAACACAGTGAGTACTAACTGCAATAAATATGGTGTACAATTATTATTTGTGCTGAATAAACACTTTATAAATTTGATGCGTCCAAAGTTGTCATAAGTTATGAATTTGTTTACATGAAAAATGATTGAAGATTTTTCTTCAACATTGTTTTAGAAACAGAAAAAAAATTCAATATCTGAACGAGTTTCTGACTCATCCTTCGTATTTGATTAATTTTTTCACAAACCTTTGTTAGTGGAAAAAACTGATTTGGAAAAATTTGGTTATACAATGACTGACAATTTCTTTCAAATTATCAACTTAAGTTTTTTTTAGTAAAAAACTAAAGAGTACATATTTTAAATGTAGTTAAGTTTTAAACCTGTAGTATTTTGTAGTTATTTGTACTTTTAAATTTGTGATTACAACGGTAATGACAGTTTAAAGCGCAAAATGCCATATTAAATACTAACTAAAGCAAATTCTTTTCTCTTTCAGAGAAGTTTTTATCACCTGGTAAGTAAACTATTATAGAAATAATTTCTGGTCTGACTGGTGAATTGATGGAATATTGATTCAAGCTTTCTTATTTTGTTTTAGTAAAAAAAGAATTTGACATAAAACATTCTAAAACATGATACTAAGAATCCATTCATCTTTGTAAAATAAGAAATGACAATGAAATAATAAATTCTCAATAATTTCTTGCTCAAGAAACAATTTAAATGTTTGAAAGCACAATGCGAAATTATTTAGATTATTTCAAGTATTACCACAATATATGTTTACACGTACAAATGACCCATACAAACAACAAAATAAAACAAGAGGTCAAACAGAGTAAAGATGACATGTTATTACAAATATATTCCAGTGTATATACTACCCTATATATCACAAAAGAATCAATCATACAGATATGATTTTACTCTTCATGTATAACATTTTATATTATAATTTATTTCAGTGATTATACCAAAACCAATTGTTGTAAATGAAGTTCTTGCACTTCCAGTTATTCACGACAATCATGGTAAGTTGAATAATAATAAAAAAAAAAAATCAGTTGACACGTCTATTGATCTATTGATATTTTATTATTTTCAACGGCTTATAAGAACGTTTATCATTTTAGCTAGTTTGATCACCTTTCATCGTTTCGTTCAGGCGTTGCAAGTTTAGAAACTTCTAATTTAAAACGTTTCAATTGAAATATATGTTTCTAAACTTTTTTTACTGAATATATATCACAAAGAGAAATTACATTTACAGAATTTTATAGGCTTCGATATTTTTATATGAAATGATTATTTTTTTAAACAGTTTGATGAAACATGCTTTCCTCAATTTGATGAGATCATATTATATAATGTTTATATAATTTTGATTTTTTTTAAATTTCAGTTGTAAAGGTTGAGCACGGTAAGAATGATTTTAGTTGTTAAGATATCATCAATTAGTATATATGCAGGCAGGTTCTTGAAAGCCTATCGTTAGTTATTAATCTGTAAATGTTTGAAATTCTAAAAAAAACTACCCTGAGAGCGAATAACAATTTGTTGAGAACTGATCGTTTTGCGGAAACCAAATATAATTTAAATGTTTATGAATCGTTACATAGGAATGTTGTTACTTGATGGAAAAAAACCCCAACAACATGTACATGAAGTCGATATCAAGATAAAATAGGACATACAACACATATTAGAAACACGTTTTTTTAGTTCCAAAGGGAAAATATTACATAAGGCAAATCATATAAAAAAATTGATACATTTAAGACATACTTATTACACCTTTAACAAATGTATACACGCTTCAAATTCAAGTTACGCAACTTTAATTAAAATAATACTTAAAAGTAAACGTACCAGTTTTGAATGTTGGATAAGAAGAACACGTTATAAATCAAAGGAAGTAAGATTTTCTATGAATAAAATGGCCTAATATCAACTTTTTTCTATTTTCAGTTGATGCTCCATGTAAGTAAAAATACAACCATCTTCTGCATGTAATGCTCAACAATTATTTTTGCAAAACAATGAGACCAGCATGAACCGTGGTTATTTATTATTGAGAAGCCTTTTGAATATTTCAACTGTTGTACTTAAGTACATTATGTTTTTCACAAAAAATATAAGATGACTAGGTCAGTTGTCCTTTATTTTTGGACACTTTTCTATAGAATGCAACACAGATAATCAAGTTACAAAGACATAAATCAATCAACTGGATACAAGTGGCTTTAAGAAGTTCTAATTGAATTACTAGTAATCGAATATCAATATATTTTGTCATAAAAAGTTCGTTAAAAGAAATCTAGATATAGATTGTTAGTTATTGCACAATTTCACATACCGCTCTTTAAATGTAAAATGAAATTGAATTAAAAATGTTTAGTTTTGTCAATAATTTGTCACAATTCGCTAATTATCATACAAATGAAGAAAAATGATTCTCACAAAATAAGTTGTTTTGCCATTGTGCAATTTAATCATTATCACTATCAGATGCAATATTACTCAATCGTGCAATCGCCGCGAAATAGTCTTTTCATGCTTTGGCGGCGTAAAGCAAACACACATCAATCAATCATTCGTACAAAACAGAAGACAAAATAAACAATTTTTGCAAATCTGAAAACTCAAGTTACTAATAAGCAGTGTTTTAATTGATGAGAATACTATTATATTGTGATAAATGATTTTATATATTAACAATATATCTTATATTATTTTGCAGTTGAAGTTGAAAGGAAGAAATTCGGTAAGAGTTGTATTTCTTTTACTATTGTTGAAATTGAATTTTCTCTAATGTGAATTGAGAATAATATATATATATATATATATATATATATATATATATATATATATAAGACTGGTTAAAAAATATTTTCTTTGTTTAAATCCGTCTGTTATTAGTTTGCATCTTTGTTTTTTTGCCTAAAATATGTTAATATTTATCAAAGCAGCCAATGCTAAAAAAACTCAACATATTATATAATAATTAAACATATGAATTAGTTAACGACAGGATATTTAAATAAATAAAAGTTTGTGTTTTTTTCAGTACCAAAACCATTCACAGTAATCAAACCAGTTGCTGTTGACTTCCTGAAGAAAAGTAAGTATACCATAGAACTATTTACACTTTTGGGTATTTAGCTGAATTTCCTTCGAATGACCTTAGATCTAGTTCCGAATAACCTTCTGACATCATGCACCAATCACTTTTTGATTTTGACATTCCAATACCAATGAAAAAACATATTATTTCATGCCACTGGGACAGTATTAATATAATCATTAAGAAACAAAGACAATACAAAAATATTTAGGATAAAGATTTGTAATTTGACAAGAATTTTGGTTCAATCTCGAAAGTAATTGTAAATCATAATTTATAATAATAGAATAATCTTTTCAATTGCACACAAGTACTTAATTGTACTTTAGTATATAAAAAAACCCAACTGGTGAATATAATAAATAAGATATGTATATTTTTCTTAATTTATTTTTTAGTTACAAAGGTTTACGACAGAAAAGGTATGTATATTAAGTTAACATTAAGGTCGGTTTGAAGTATACACAATTTGTTTTTTTTTAAATTTTCAAATAGCATACGATTACCAAAAAATTGTTGATGAAGTGTGTTTTTGTCCACTTACATTTTTGTACCGACCGCTTGTTATGAAGCACATAATTTATTAAACACGATTATCGCTCCTTTATAAATAGGAACTGATGCTACAACAGTTAAGACAAATAATAACTCAATAAACAATCATTTAATCAGGATGGGATCAGACCACGCTTCATATAAAAGTTCATGAGTTCATTTCTGTTGTTATACCCGTTGATGTGAGCTTGTAAATAAATCTATGTTTGCATGTAATGCAAAGATTAACATTATTGGCTTTCAAATCACACTCATTGTATACTTTAGTTGAGGTCCCACACTTCCATCCTGTCCCATTGATTGCCACAATTGACAAACCAAGACCAGTACCATTCACCAGAGAAGGTGAGTATATTATGAAAAAGGTCAATAAATCAGTTTTACAAATATAGAAATTACAATTAAGAAGTCTCAGGAATATGTATACGGTTACATAATTTCTTATAATGTGATTAAATAATATGGATATTTTCTACGGGCAAAATATTTGAAAGTTGTCCTATGACAATAATCTTTATTTAAGTTAATCGAAATTTATACGCATTCAGAAATATTATATTTATCAACACCCGTAACTTCGTTTGATTTAACAAAGACTAATTCATATTATGAAAATAGAAAGACTCACTCCCTCTGAAATAAGATTGTGGACACTTAATAAATGAATCGAGTGATTGTTCATGCAAAAGAGAAACGGATGATACCAAAGAGATAATTAAACTCATTAGTCGAAGAAATACGTACAAGGCCTGGAAAAAAAAGAGAAACGACCCAAATGATTTCTATACATAATAATTGACCATTTCTTATATCTTTTTCAGTTGTTCAACATTATGACGTTCACGGTAAGTTTAATAAATAACATTATATTCATAACGTATGATGTCAATTTACTGTTTTTAGTATACAGTTTTTTTAATAGACGTTGAAACCAGTAAAATATTTATATTGTCTAACAATATCAACAAACTAGTATGTGAAATCGGTAAACGTTTGAATAGTAGAAATATGTCCATAGCTCATTTCCGTATGCGACAGGTGAATCGTTTGTTTCTAGTTGTGTAATATCATTTCTCAAAACTGCTTGCCGTTAAAGGACTACTCAAGAAAGCATAAAAAAAAATTTATTGCAATGTTATTTTCATTGTTTTAATAAATATTTAAGATCCTCTTTTTTAAAATTTACATTGTACATTTTCAATAGATCAAGATCGTAATAATGCATTTGCTCTATTTATCAAGTTTCACAATTAAGTCAACTATAGTAAACAATAAATATTTATTATAACCAACATGTACCATTATAGTAATGAGTATGTTTTTTTGGTTCAGGTTTGTTACATCCATATATGACAAAAAAACGTAGAATCTACTTACAAATGTCTGTTATTTATTTCAGTTAATGTTCCAAGACCAAGACCAGTCAAACTAACAAGACACAGAACTCATGTTGAACAGGGTATGTTGGAAGGTTTAGCTAGCTATAAAACAAGGTTTAACCGTTCGTCGGAAAACGCCTGTACCAAGTCTGGAATATAGCAGTTGTTTTTCATTAGTTCCGTTGATTGATAACGCTTGATTTAGTCAGTTTTTGTGGACTGCCCCTATTTGAATTTGCTTTGGAGTTCGGTATTTTTGTTATACTCTTTAGATTACTTTTATGCAAACCTGTCGGGTTTAGGATTTACTTTTGGTTATTTTCAATTGCTTCAGCTCTCAACGTTCGCATTAGGTTTTTGATTTTCAAATATGTTGGCCTTGGCGTCTAGCATCAGTGAAGAGACATTATGTGTTGAAATGCTCATCTGGTGCAGTAAAAGTGGCATTGGTTATGTTATTATATATTAATATTAAGGGAGTTCTAAGTTTTTTTTCTAATAACCAGGTATTCAACATACAAAACTTGAGGTTGGACCTATCGCTAAAACTCAAACGTGATTGAGATCAGGTAAACACACCTCATGCTGCACATTAATCACAAGTTTCAAACGATTCAAATCTAATATTCGATATTAAGTGTCAAGGCCAAGAACGCCATACAGCCGGTCATTCTGTCAAATGGACATATATTAACTTTGAATCTCAGCTTATGTTTACATAATCTTGTTAACGCTTTTTCTGTGCTCTTCCAAAATTGACTTTACGCATATTATTTACCATTTTTATATCAACATATAATGTGGTTTGCAAAATCATTGTATATTTATGAATAATAAGCATCTTTTAATATATTGTTTTGTTTTGTTTTTTTCAGTTCCATTCGATAGTAAGTAAACTGTAACCATATGGAGGGTTTTCGATTCTTAGTAAAATACGTTATATGAACAATGAAACTATATTCATTGTTGACTATTGATTCTTGTCTACTAATATATGTATGAAATTTTCAATTTGTTTAAATATCAAAGGACTTTTTAAAATGACAGTATGAAAAAAAATTGGAATTTAAAGAATTTGAGAAGTTACCATAAGGAAATATTATACTGGATAAAAATATGAATTTCATTATTTCATAGCATCTGATATTTGTCTAATTGTAATAGTTCACATTGTCACATGCTGTTAATTGAAACAAATATTTCTGAATTTTCAGCCACATTGATGTTATATAAAACTATATGACGATTTGTTTATTACTTTTAGCACCAAACGTTATTGTTCAGAACAGACCACGTCATCACGAAGTCAGGGAATTTGTTCCAAAGGTCCCACAAGGTATGATTCTCTATAAGCGATTCAGGGGATTGTCTAAAAAAATGTGGCATGACATATTTTAATGAACCATTTATTGAATGATAAAAGATTTGGAAATACAAAATTTGCTCTCTCTTTTGGAACTCCATATATTTTTATATTGTAGTACATCAGTGATTAAAGGGCTGAACAATATTTTAAATTATATTATCTTTGTTAAAATTGAAACATCTTAAAATGAATTTTTAACTTAAATCTCATGCTTTACTTCTTATTTCCAATCCTTGTACGTTTTCAGAATGTATAGAATATATCTGTATGACGTTTATTTTCAAACACTTAAGTGGATAACAAGATGTAATTAGTATATATGTCATTTTCACCAATAACACCAATGAATGTGTATTTAATTATATTGCTAGTCTCAAATGCTTTAGTTTTGACTTAACTGTGTTAGCATTTAGTGGGAAATACTTTCCAGCGTTTCGGATTTAAAGATATTATATATACACACACTTTTGGTCAATATAACCATTTGTGTTGTTATATATTCTGATACATGTATATTCCTCTTGATAAATCTTATGCATATTAATTTTCATAGTTCATGTCGAGAAATTCAGAATACCAAGCCCCAAAAAAGGTAAAGAAAAACGACAGAAAACGTAGAACACTATCTTTAACACGGTACTGGTGCTGCAGTGATAGTCTAACAATATCTTTAAATAGTTTAAAAACTTATTGCATGTTAGTTTTAATATCTTTTACTCTAATCTTCAGAAGCGTCACAAAATTGTGTAATACATCGAGAAAAATAGTGCATTATTAGTCTAGCAATATTTCTAAATAGATTTAAAACGAATTGTATGTAATTTCTAATAACTTCTTCTCTTTAATTTACAAAAGCATTCTCAAATTCTTGTTATACATCGAAAAAAGTAGTCCTATATACACTATAGTAATATAATTTTGAATTGGATTCATCAATGGTCTGGTATTAAATATATCCAAGTCTAGAAATATCAAGTTGTAAGTGAAATTAAATGCAAATTCAATATTTTTATAACTGTAACTTTTGTTATTTTCGGGTTAATATTTTACAGAAAGCCTCTAGCAAGACTTTAAAACGAGCCATCATTAGAAAATTAATTTTAAGGATATCATATTTTATCCAATCGAATATAATTATTTTTTCTGAATTTTACTCATACTCATCTATTTTTCTGAGTAGAACTAAATAGTGCATCTTCCTAACATATCTTTTTTCTAAACTTTTGCATGTTTGATTAATGTTTTTCGTAGATTGGTAGTTTGGTTAGATTCATAGCTGTAGCTATACAGTAATTCCTTGAGTTTTTATTTGACTACTTGGTATAAACTATATTCCTGGATGTTGAATAAAATAAATGATTACAAATTTGGTATGCAAAATAAATATGTTTCATATATTTGTTAATTGGTTGTAATCTTCCCCCTAAACATGATAAAAATTTAGAATATAAACAAATGAATTGATTGACTTTATGTGAGACTAAATTTGTTTTTCAAGATATAACTTAAACAGCTTACATGACCGGTCATGTCAATATGGTTACAAGCTTATCATACAATTTTCTTCGTGAACCTTTAAAATTAGTTGGTGATTTCAAATAGGTCATTTGTAAATAAATAAGCGGACCTTAATGATAAAACATAGGTATTTGATAAAAGAACCACCAGTATTGCGAGCTCGTTTACTAATATTCAACGACTAATGATTATCGTGAATTTAGAGGCAAACCGACCAGCATATACGCCATGATGAACGAATGTATTTTTCTTGTATCCGAGAGTTTGGGCGTATGAGAATAAATAAATTTCAGCATTAAGAATACTACGGAGAAGAATTGACATGCCTGAGTTCTTTCTGTCGTTATGGTAAATTGAATGAAATAAACGAATGTTTACCAACGCTACGATATTCTGAATTTCTGTACTGTTGCTACGATATTTGGGATTATTTTTCACAGTCGTGTTGATTATTTCTCACGGTCGAGTTGTTTTGGTCTAGAAGATATAGAACAGCACCATTGAAAAGGTAAATATTTTTTTATTGTTATTAGGATAATATGTAGCACAATACTAATTTTATTTTGCTTTTTTAAGGATTTAATGGCCGAGTATTTGCCGGCACATCTGAAGATAGAGCAGTATCTCTCGAAGCAAATCAATGTAAGAGGCGTAAATCCCACCCTGCAATGCGACCCTTAGCAATACAAACAATATATTGATCAGTTGCATGGCACCAGTTTATTTCGTCAAAATTTTACTTTCATTTGTACTGAATTATGTAAAAAATATGTAAATATCAGGTTGCAGCTTTTATATGTTTTGAAACAACTGTGTATGGATACCATGACAAGGAGTAAGAACGATATACGTAGTTAGGATTATGTTTCTGACACATTCTTTAAAGCGTCTTTCTACAAAAATAACTAAGAACATTCCGTTCATTTTGTACGTATGTCAATTGTGGGTGATTGTTGTTGATGAAGCGAGTTAAGGATAATATCTTGTAAACTGTTAAATATATTGCTTTAAGGATAAATGCATTTATTTAAATGTCTGTCAAGGACATATTCTGCTCAATATCTGACTTTTCGAAATAACCTGCAATGATATCCAAGGACAACATAAAATTATAATTATTAAGAAAAAAATAGATTTGCTTATCTTTATTTCAACCTAATGAATTATGAAAGTGCACTTAAATTAGGTTGTGTTTGATGAAATTGATTCAAGAACAATTTGTGTACAAAGAACAGTTCCCCTATATAAAATTACAAAAGTAAGAAAAACTGAGGAAAATGAATAAAACTGGTGCCTAAATGACATCCTAAATATACCTCGCCATCGCTTTGCTTAAATATATATTCCATAATTATATTTCCTTATTACTACACTATTAGCACCTCTTGTTTGATGCACTTTACATGGTGACTAATTGTCTTGAAATAATAATGGCAATAGTTATAAAGAGATATTTATTCGTTTTTCTCCTCTGATATATGCATGCTCCATAGTTTACTTTCCCTTTTCTGATTTGAGACTATGTTACAAGGCGCAATAGCTTCAGCAGTTGATTATGTAAATAAGGAAATTTCAGACGACATTTTTGTTAAATGGTTAAGATATTATGCAGCAATGTTTAAGCGTTTTGTCAAACTTGAAAAAAAAACACTTGTTGTCTTGATGTAGTAATGACAAAAGGTTGAATGAGATATTTTTCCTTTTTAGGCCTCTTAAATATACATGCACCGTAGCTTACTTTCCTTTTGCGTTTGAAACTATGTAACCATGCGCAAGAATTCCTGCAGGTTCTTGGTTTGTTGATTATGTAAAGAGTGAATTTGAGACGCCGTCATTATATAATTCATTTTATGAAAAAAGGACTAAATGTTAATTAATTGAACCGAAACTGAAAATTAGAATTCAATGAAACTTATGACAATACAATTTCTATATAGATTTTCTTGATCTGAATATACAGTTTAAAAAAACTATAATGCATAATATACGTTATCATGTAAAACAATGTTGTTATATCTAAATTGATACTTTTTTTTACCTAGTTGGTCCAAACACACCTGGACGAACAATTAACGTAAGACGAACAGGTAAGTAATTAATCATTATATTTCTAGTTATTATGGGACAGATGTTACATACTTATTTATTTTTTTGTTTTTTTAATTAAGTCAGCTCTTCAACGTTTGAATAAGATTTCGGATTTTCAAATATTTTGGCCTCGAGAACCACCGAAGAAACATGAGCATCGAAAATATTTTTTTGACATGTCAAGGGGGAAAAAGCCAAGCAAACCTTTGAAATAATTCAGTGCTTTTGATACATTGCTCCTCATACAATTGAAAGTCGTATCAAGTGGTTATTGTCCCCCTAAGAAGCATACCGCTACTAAAAACTCTAAGACGGAGGATAGTAGAAGCTACTCATATATTTATGAATTAGGAAACTTAAGGCACTGAGACCATATTCGATTAACAAATTCGTAGATGTAGTGTACAGATTAAATCAGCCATCCTTATTCAAAACCATATTTAAGTGACAGGAAATCTCGTCTGTGGCTGGCTTAAGCCTTATTATCTATTTTTGGTGTCTATAGGGAATTTCGTGTTCATGATAACTTTGAGTCTTTGTAAAATTTATTCACAATTTTTGTTAGATTTGGCGATGTAGAGATTGACTTATTGGCTGGACACTTGTCTATGTTGACGACTGTATGTTGACCTCTAGATATTTTCCGAATGTTTATATCGTTTATTGCTGTCCCATTGACGTATACCCCAAATATTCTTTTATTCAGATTTCAGATGATGGATGTGCTTATATTTTTCAGTACAAGCTGCACAGGGACCAAGAGTAGCTCCACGAGCTGGAGTAGTAGCCACTGAATTCCATGATGGACGTTCAGGTGAACCAATCGGAGACGGTGCAAGAAGAGGTACATAAAACTATTTTCCTACTCGAGACAGTTTAGTTACTTGATATCTATTCAAATTTGTTTTCTTTCTTTCCTTGATCTTGTAGAAAATTTGTTGTTTTGCAGAAACCATTCGTTCTTTGTGGTCGTTTTAGATTCACAAATAAGTAAGGAAATATTATTAGTTAGGTTTTCTATCGTAGATGTTGTTTAAATGCGACAGTATTAGAATCACCTTAATTAGAACCATTCGTTTAAATTCTGATCACCTTCGATTTAATACTGTTTTTCCTAAAATCACATAAGTATTCCTTGTACAAAAATAACATTTACAATGGTTGCAAAATTTTCAGTACGTACAATTGCTAAAATCTTAAATCTGTTCAAACTATATTTATATCGTAGATAAAAAACCTGCAAAATGTAACTTATAAATTTCAGACATTTTAAAAAGAATAAAATAAAAATAAAATTACAATTAATCTTAGAATGTTCGACATTAGCCATTTTTGTTGTTTATTAAACAAAGTTGGTAGATAAATTTTTTTTTAAAGTTACATAGTACATCGTATTAGTATATGTTTCAGGTATAGATATAGGTATAAATATGAAGTCAAGGGTATACTTAAAACTCAAACAAGACTCAAGAATTTGACACGACAAGTGAAAAGAGTATGCTAAGACATGCGTCGTCTAACTGCATATACTTACCTACCTTGCACATATTCTTTCTACACTATTTATCTATCCACTGTGTCTGTTCATACTGCCCTCAACTGCACTTGCACAATTTTTGCCTAAACACCATGCATAGCACACAGTCATTTATTAGTTATCTCCACAAAAAATGTATGACACAAATAACACATATGCATCCATTAGTCTTTATAACTATACTAATAATATTCTTCAAATTCCTAAAGGTCTTTGAAATGTTTTTCCATCTTCGTGTTTACCATAGCTTTTTTTATTTAAAAAAAAAATGTACAATACATAATCCAAAATATTAGACATTTACATAATCCAAAATACTAGACATTTACATAATCCAAAATATTCCACATTTCAGAGACAAATTTTCAATGTTAAAAGGGCTAATCAAAGAATTTGTTTATATATTTTGTTACTGAAGATGTAATTGCAAAGAAAAGATAAATGTTCAAGTTCCAAAACGTATTTTAAACAAACCCTTTCTTCCCATCCTTCCTCTATATAATCATCCAATTTACACAGGTTTGGGAGTTAGACGTGGCCCAACTATCAGAGTTGGAGGAGGTACCCGACAAGGTGCACCTTTCCCAATCGGAGACCAAATTGTACAAGGTCATGAATTTATAAGAGGTGGGGGAGTTGCAATAGGTGGCGGTGGTGGATTACTTAGAGGAGGAGGGGTAATTGGAGTAGGTGGCGCTTTAGGAGGAGGAGTAATTGGAGTAGGTGGCGCTTTAGGAGGAGGTGTCGGTGGTAGCGGAGGTGGAGGAGGTAATTCTTACTACACTTACTGAAGCATTAGTAGGAGAGAAAGTATAATGTATGATACAAGCAACACACGGACGACACTATAAAATGTTGAGACATGTTTTTAAGCCACGTCCTAATTAACAAATTCAAATCAAGATATTCGGTAAACATTTACAGCGTGGAATAGTACCTTAGCTGTATTTGGCAAAACTTTCCGGAAATTATAGTCCTAATGCCTTTCAACTTTTCAAAAAGTTTTTAAATATTTTTGACAAGAGCGTCACTAATGAGTCTTTTGTAGACGAAACGTGCGTCTGGCGAATACATTTTGTTTTATTCTGGTATCTATGATGAGTTTATATACGAAGAAATCGTTGATATTTTAGCAGAACAATGTGGAGAGTTTGAAGCAGTTTTATTTATTGTCTCGAAAAACATAATAAAAGAGAGGCGAAAAATACCAAATGCACATTCAAATTCATAAATCGAAAAAAAAACTGACAACGTCATTGCAAACATGTTCCCTTTCTTTTCGTGTGTAAGTATATGCATATAACAGTTATATTATTCCGGACGTCCGAGCTGCTTTTCTGGATTTACCTTCATCAGGAACGCTCAGAACCGAAAAAATTTGAAAGTCAAGGACGTATCAGCCCTGAAAACATGCGGAGCTACATAACCAAAAGGGACCTAAAGGAAATATCAACATTCTACTAAGGTCAACTTTTCACGAGAGAGTTGGAACTAGATTTTAAATAACTTATTAATTCATTAACGTGGAATGTAGAGAAAAAAAGTGTTATAAATAATGTCAGTACCAAAGAACTGACTACTAGGCTGACTACTAGGCTAATAATACCCTTGGGGACTAAAAATTTATCAGCAGTACTATAGACCTAATTGATTTATTAACAAACTGTGGAGTTATTGTTGATGACATTGTTTAATGAATATGTTATGTGGATTTGTAAGGTTTAGTAAGAACAAACAATTTTCATTCAAATAAAAGCCATTAAAACTATTTAGGAAATGATATAATTAGTTTTGTAAGTCGACTGCTCTAGCTAAATATTGACTTACATCAAGCGAGAAAACAATGTATTCTATTTTCTTAAGTATTTATGTAATAAACTACACATTTTATTCGTTACAGGCATCAATAGAATATTTTTTACACATCCGTAACCACAACGTTTTAATTGATGAATGACTTTTATCTATCTTTATTTGTTCAGAAAATATTTACTTAACAACACATATAAGACACAACATCTTACAGTATACAGTAGTTTCATGGTTTTGCTACACATCTAGTCGATAAAAATACAAAAAACTCTCATCTTCACAGAATTCGGGTTTTATGACTGTCAAAATGTTTACTAATTTCAATACTTTTTAAAAAGTTGTATGCAATATCAATTTTTGCTCCAGAGAAATACAAGTAAACGGGGTAATGTGTATTTTTTTGTTGTTGAGTATATATAACATTTTTTTTAAGGTGGATCAGGACCCGGAGGATACGGCGGATACGGACCAGTCGAATATGGATATGGTTCTAAAGATGCATATTAGGGATATAAAATAATTACAAGTATGCTCATATGTTTGCAAATTAAATAGATATACTTAATCATATGTTTTTTTAAAGTCCGAAAAGTTATGTTCAAATCTCATATTTCTATAATGATATAATGATTAAAATTTATAAAGTTCGCTATCTACATTATAGACAACCAACTCTTCATTTCAAAGTCAGCATTTTGATATCAGTCATAACCATTGCTTTCATGAAGTTTTCAATATCATTTTGTTTTCATGATTCAATTCCATTGTACAAACAAATAAGAAAAATAATTTCATTGAATGTAATTAGTTAGTACTTATCTTACGAAATAAAAAAGGTAATAAAATACGCGTGTTTTTATCACGCACAGCATGCTATTATGGAGTTAACTTTAGATATTCGTTTGCGTTTAATAAATTTTTCCTGAAAGTTAAAATGTATAAATAATGACTGCATAGATATCATGCTATTTAATAAATAGTTTAAACTGATTTATTATTATTTCTAGGTTACTTGAAGGTTTAGGGGTAAGAAATACTGTTCTAGTATCAGCTCCTACCTCGTATACAATCCACAACCAAGGGTTACTTAAAGAATGTCCCAAATGATTTATGTTATATTTATGCAGTCATATGGTTATTTTGCTTCTTGTTTTGTATCTGTTTATTGATAAATATATGAATAAATGTTGTTGTTGTATGATTTGTTCTCTGTTCAAGTCCAATACTTCCCTTACACTATTACCCTGTGTGCTTTTATTGCAGATTAAACATTAGTACGATTGTTAAATGTGTTTTGAATTATGTTAATAAGAAATAAAAAATCCAACATATATAAGAAGGTACTATTTGAACACTTTTCAGGTGAAATACTCAAAACAACTTTACAATAATGTCCATTTATTCCAAAATGTGGTTTCATGATGAAAAAATGTTTTGAATTTTACATGTATCATTCACTAGATTATCATAAAAGCCATTTTATAAACCTTTGACATTTAATGTTCAAACTTCCCTTAACTTGTAATATTCTATTCAACACCTTTTCTAACTTTAAAGTATGTAATATAAGATTTCGTCGAATTTCAAAGTAGTATGGTGTTATGAGATTGAATGCTTTGGTGATGGAACTGTTAATTATCATTTACTAACATTATCCTTTTGTAAAAGTCTGTTCATACAATATCTATTTTAACGCTTTTCATGTTTTTTCACTTATGATTTAAATTTGATGTAATGTTTATAATAAAATCTTTTATATGTACATTTCACATGTAATATCTGCATTTAACTTCTTTTAATACTTTATTTAAGATGTTATTATTTATTAATTGTTTTTTATTTCCTTGTTTTATATTTTCACCGCCGATATTGAAAAATCCCATGTTTCATCAATTTTCTATAGAATAACATTCAAAACAGTACCTTGATGGGATATGATATTAACCCTAGTTTTTGTGTCAACTTTTTGTCTATGCAATAAGCGTTTCGGAAAATAATTTCTAATGGAGAAATGTTTGAAATTTACATAACGTTAATTTGGTAAAAAAGTTTCGCATTAACTCAAAACGTACAGAAAAATAAAGATAAGCTGTCAGAATAATCCTTTAACTGTTATAATTATATTATAAATTTATTATCAATATGATATAATTGTTTAAAAAAAAAAAAAAAAAAAAAATCATTATTATTTGTTCATTTCAGCCAAATACTGAGTAACAGTTTTTCCTAGGTAAGCAATACAACTAATAAGAAATTAATGTAGACGACAATTAAACAGCAATCCTACTTCACAAGTGGTCTACAAATCATTTGATCGTCAATGTGTAATCTTCGATGATGAATAAGTGTTCATTTTACATTTTAATTAGTCAGAGCACATGAACTTGAATGTTAACTTCTGACTTTCCGTTTTGATTTTTTATTGGAGTTCGGTATTTTTTGTTAATTTACTTTTTACTTTTTCAAAATTCAGAACATATTACACATGTAATTGATGAATTACGAAATCAATAGAAATGAAATATCACTACACATTGAAATTATTACAGTTGTAAAAGTGAGACTTTTTTCCATATCCAAATGCATGAGTTTTCTTCGTTTCAAAAAAAAATATTTGCCTTTAGTTTGACCTTTAAAAAGTGTTAATTTAAAGCTAATAGTGACCAATATAAATGCATACAAACTTAAGAACTAATTATCATTTATCATGCTCAGTATGGGAATATACAAGTTAAACGAAGATACTCGCTTTTTTGTTTCAAATAGTCAAACGCATTGTTGCAGTCTAAGACGTTGCGTGTTATTAGAACATGCCTCGCTATTGTACATCACGTGATTGTTGTCGCAATCAGAACAAAAATAAATGTTTAATTTCTATATTTAGTTATTACTGTCTTTCTTACCTTCACATACGTAGATGATAATAATTCTTTTTTTTTTTCATTGCAGGAGGATTTCTAAAATCTGGTGGCATTTCAGACATTAATTCTCGTTGTTACCACGTTTTACGTGTTTTGAGCATTTGCATACTGTAGATAATATATAACATCGGTTTGATCAATGTATTCATCATCTTCGGGCGTCTAAAATAAATTATATATTTTCCAATATTTGTTACTTGTACTGAACCCTTTTTCATCGAAACTGTTAGATGAAATACATCATTGATTTTATTAAATCTGTACTAGATTGTATTACTTACTAGTTTCTTTTTTGAATCACACAACTATAAAATCAAAAAAAAAAACCCGAGTATACAAAAAAGGTATACAAATCCAATCAACCATGTTAGTAACTTGTACTGAACCCTTTTCTAAACTGTTAGACGAAATAATTATTTTACTAGTTTTTACTTTTTTAAGATTATGCACATGAATAAAAATCTTATAGAACCGAACAGAAAAAATAAATTGAACAAACCCCTTCCTGTACCACTGAATTAGAGCATACTAGCTTTAATGATTGGTTACTCTAGGATGTTTATGTGAAAAGATTACCATATTACATTTTAAGATTGACTTACAGTGTAACCACACTTACCAAGTTTTAACGAATTTTATACACAACTACACATTCTGAAAAAAAAAATAACGTTATGTAATTTGAAGCGTGTTTTCAACAGTGACTGAACGTAGGCAGAGTGAAACTTACAATACCATATGTTACATGGAATTGCAACAATGGGAGTACTAACTTGTTGAGTAAAATATATACTATACTGTACCATATATTAATCATTTACCTAACAAGGGGGCTATAGTAATAGATTGTAACTGGAGGTACAATCTCCCCTGGTTTTATTTCACGCACTTAACTATTGTATAAACATACCGAAATTCATATATTAAAGAGTCTTTATTTATATACCCATACAAGATTTTACAGCAATTGTTCCTATATTCAAGGAATTCAAATATTATTCAGCGGCAAACGTTGTTGAAGAAGATAGTTTTGATAAAAGTTTACATATGTTTGTACCATTTAACATCGACATACGTCCTTCACTTACATCATTTAATTCTAAGACAAACAAGCGAATTACCTCAATTATAATTTAGATTTTGGTTGAAAACGTCATTTTAATAGGATAATTGCTTAACATTTGTCATTTCCGCCAAATAAACACTGTTGAAAAAGAGAGACAGATGATACTAAAAGGAGAATCAGAACTCATAAGTTGTTAAGAGACCGACGGGAGTTGGCAAAAAAGACAAAAAGACAAGCAACAGTCGACAAAACAATGCAAAATATATGACAAATATATACTAAGCAACACGATCTCGACTAAAAAGCGGGTGTTATCTATAAAATGTGGTAGCATTTTCAGAAATACGTATACGTAGTGAGAACCTCACATCACAAACACAAATATCTCATGCTGTAAAATTTATCCAAGATTTAGAGACATTTTGAAATTAGCTCTTGTGTAAAATAAATTATTAGGAAATTAGCCTTACCGTTTTCGTTTGATCTTTAATAAAAACAAACGAGATTTGGTATGATTGACAATTAGAAATCTATCTATCAGAGACAACATAAACTTTGAGGTTCATTGGAATAATTTGTTCATTAGAGTAATGATTATGTCGATAAACCTGAACAAAGTGAAGATGTTCGAAATCCTATACATAATAAGGTATAATATACCTATTTATGGAGTCAACTGTTCGTAATTATGATTAAAAGATGACAAAAATATTGTAAATTTATTCCATTATTAACATTTTTTTAGGCAAAACATTTACTAGATGAATTACAAGCAGTGACAAATAACAACTAACATCCCAAATATGCAATCAAAATCTATAGCCGAAGAAAGAAAGACACTACAATGGAAAAAAAAAGACAAAATACTGCACGGAAGTTCATGATCATATAAATTGACCAACCATGTCTGTTTGGGTTGCTCACCCAATTTTGTAAACATAACGGAATTATATACAACTGACATACAAGTCATACAAGTATGTGGTTCAGCTAGCTATACAACCAGGTTTTACCCAATATCTTCGAAAAATGCCTGTACCAAGTTAGGAAAATGACAGTTGTTTTCAATTCGATCCGTTATTTGATATTTAACCCATTTCTCTGACGTCAGTCTATTGTTCTTACAGTAGATTATTTTTCAAGAATCCACTGACCACTTCGTTTACTTAAGATAACTTATTTTATAACTTTAAACTTTTAACTTACGATTTTTTATCCTTTCAAAAACGAGAGGCATATGAAGGGTTCGAACTCCCGCGTATTTTCTTCATAATCAGTAGAGTCTTCAGTCTATGCATGATACCACTATACCACGAGTGCTGACATAAATCAATATTTAAATAACACTCTTAAAGCGCACAACTGTCAATACATGTCAATAAACTGTATTTCTATCTCAGAGATAATTCGCTTTTGTTATCTAATAAAATATTTATACTATGTCTGGATTTGTTCATGTTCTTTTCAAATTTATGTAAATTGTTTTATGCGTTATTTTTTAAGGAAGATTATGTTCTACATTTGAACGTTCTTGAGTATAGTTATATAGCAGTATGGAAATATCTTAAAAAAGAGTTTATTAACGATGTCAGGTTTAAACATTGGTAGATTTTCAACATCGTTATAATGAACCGATGGGTCTTTATACGATTGTGGCTATTACACACTAGTTCTAAACACTAGAGAATCGAGGAATTGTATATATTAGTACAGTTCCTTGATAAAATAAACAACCATATGCCCATTACACATGTCACTTTTAACGTACAAGGACTTTTCCTTTTCATCATAGCAAATGCTTACTTAAGGTTTTAGTCTTATAATGATATCGAACTATCAATATTTTCTTCTTTGTTTGATTATAAATGGTCCAAATATACATCACGTCAACATTGAACGTACTCTAATTTGAATAAAGTGTGATATATAAGCTACGACTGTAAAACTACTTCCTTGACTGTAAAACCAGAAACAAAATCATAGCCTTAAAATGAACATGAAGTATATAATACCTCTAAGATTAAAACAATATTTTTGTCGAGAAAAAAATTGCAATGAAAAATTTCAATTCGGGTACAAGGTTTGAACTTAGCACTGCTAATATCACAGTTGCGTCTTTTGATACCAACGACTAGACGATCACGGCTATGAACAGCTTGAATGTAATAGTAAAAAATTGACATAATTATACATTGTACATCTGTAGCACGAGCAATTCTGCTGGAGATTTAGAATGCGTACCACAGAAAATACTAGTTTATTGACTGGTTTACGATGGATGCCAAATGTAATAACGTTAAAATAATCTAAACTTAATGAAAGGGAAACAGTTTAAACAAAATACATGTATAATTTTCAAAAAAGACCTTCGGCAATTATTTTATTTATTTCGGAAAGCATCATTTACTGGAGCATCATAAAATTGTAGTATTATGGCAACTACGCTAAATACATGCATTTGACTTAATACGGTTAAATTGCAGGCAATCCTTAATCAGCTGTAAAGAATCATAGATTGCTAAATACTATATACGTAAATTTGAAAGGTTTCTAAATTTTGGTAATTTGATTTTTTTAACTATTCAAAAAAAGATTAAAAAATTCTGTATATTTACATATGTCTTTTTGAATAAATCATAAATACCAAAATCTATATAATTTAAATACTTTGTAATGATAAAACATTAAATGAAATATAAATATACAAGTATTAAATCTGGTAATAAAAAGGGGAGCTAACAACCCATTTAAGTTATATCAAACTTATGTTAACTTAAATATAGACGTGAACCGTGTGGATATAATCATTTCCAGCTATTATAGAATAAAAAAGACAAAATACGAAATCATTTTTATGAAATTTCGTTGATTCATTGTCAAAACATAAAACAGACAGTCTTTTTACTAGAAATGGGTTAAGCTAGAGAATTGATAAGAAGTAGTGGATTCGTAAACGATAATCAACTTGCGACTAAAGTCGCTCGTTGATTATCGTTTACGAATCCACTACTTCTTATCAATTCTCTACTACAGACTAATATTTGATTTTGTCAGTTTGAATAGACCTCCACCTGTTTGAATTCACTTTGGAGTTAGGTATTTTGTTAATACTTTTTTACACATCCAGTTTTAATGTAGTGTCATTATTATGTTAGTATAAGAATCCTTGATCAGAACATTTAAATTCCTTTTTTTTCCCCATTTTATAAATTAAATTGTATAACCTGTAATTTCTGCAACATTCCGTTTCTGTTTAATATACTGAGCAGGAAAAAATAAAATCCACCAAAAAATTAAAAGTACGACCGCCCGTACTTTAAACTTCTAATGATTGAGATTAATCGGTATTTATAATGATTGAAAAGTGATCTGTTTCCTGCTGTCGGAATTTGTTTTTTTGTCAAAATTTACTTAGATGACAAAGAATAAAATAATGTTGTTTAAATGAAAAATCACGTTAATTTTGACTTTTATTAAATCCATCAAACCTTTTTCTTTGTGTGCGGATTATATGACCAATAATCATGATAAAATCAACATGTGTACATTTTGTTCTACATTTATTGATATTTGTAATGATTGAAAACTCGTATGTTTTCTGCTACCGCAATAAGGTGTGTGTCATAATTACTTAAGATGACAAAAGTAAAAAAAACTGTAGATTTAAGGTGAATATTTTTATTGCAATGTTTATGTTCAAATTTATCTTGATCTTTTTTCCCAAATATTAAATCTTATTTTCTGTGTACAGATTACAACACCAATAAAAGCTTGTTTTAATAATCTAAAAAGAAAAAATATTAAAAAGTAAAATAACAAAAATACCGAACTCCGAGGAAAATTCTAAACGGAAAGTCCCTAAGCAAATGGCAAAATCAAAAGCTCTAAACCTCTTATTTGTATGACAGTCGCATACAATTCCATTATATTGACAACGATGTGTGAACAAAACAAACAGACATAATAGGTAAAAATGTCAAAAATAGGGATACAGCAGTCAACAGTGTGTTATAATCTTAATCACAACAAAGACAAGCAAATATGTCAACAAAGACAAACAAAAAGGCATAAAGACAAAGCACATTAGCAAAAACGAACGACAAGAATACAAAAATATACCCTAGCACAACAACACAATGACGGGATGTACAAGTACCGGGCCACGTCAAATAGATACTGCCAAAAATAGGCTAAACAGTAAAAGTAATAA